TGCTTAACTCTGATGTTTTAGATCTCCTACATGTAGAAATCCATTGTCTTCTGAAGCAATATAGTGTGGTAACATTAACTTGTATAAATCCAAGCACAAACAAGATAAGAGAACATCAGCAACTTTTTGGAAAGGTCTAAATACTTGCTGGAATTGAGCAATAAATTTTTATCCTCCACTTAAAATGGTTTTTCCTAATCTGCTGCCCTCCAGATATGCTAAGAATTTCCAACAAACATTACCAATAGCTATATTGCAGTCCTACACCAGACTAGGGAAAACTGAGTTGCCACTGCAAGAATATATCAGAAATCATGAGAAATAATATGCTGAGAAAGATTTCCATCCTGTGGCCAAGATGGCATTTATGAGAGTTTTTATGGTACACTACTGAATATGCATTTAGATACAACTGCAAATGTGAACTCAACCCTGTGTTGCAATTGGCTAATAGAATGAGGTAAAGGAAGAGGGAAGATTTCCAAGATAACCCTGTGTCCTTCTGCCTGTAGAGACGTCATATTTGGCTTTAAAATTCTGGTATTTAAGAAACAGTCAATAAGAACAAGAGGTTCCAAAATTCAAATTACAGGCAGTCCCCAGTTTAAAAATGAGTTCCATTCCAAAGGTCTCTCCTTAAGACGAATTTGTATGTAAGCCAGAACTGTATTATTGTATAACGCTCTATGAGTAGTACCATGTTATTAACTCAAACCATTGCATATTTAACTCAAATTATGCTACAAAAGGCTCCATTCTTAACTATGAGTCATCCTTAAACTGGGCGTTCTTAACCTGGGGACTACCTGTAACAAATCTTGATACTCCATGTTCTTAGTTTGCATATTTCACCAACAGAGAATAAAGTATCCTATAATTATTGGTGGTTTCTAGACCTTTTGGACTGAGTCCCAGCCACATGTCCAAAGTTAGGGAAAAGGGGAGCTGTAGTCTAAAATATCTTGAGGTCATCAGAAAACCTACCCACAGTGTAAGCATGTATGTATATTTTAAAAAAAAAAACTTACTACAGGAAGCCACCAAAAGCCTTAAAATTCCAAAGAGATTGCATTTCCTCTCTGAAGTTCCCCCTATAAGTGAAACTGTGCATATTCACTTCTGAAGTCCAACTGCAGAACAATATTTATTCACACACACACCCAAAATAATTTCAAATCCCTTGGTAGGCAAATTAGGTCTCACAAAGATTTTAAGCTGTGGGGAGTTCAGCAACATGAAGAATGCTAAAAGGCATGCACTGGCATAACCATGCCAAGTGTTAGATTTAAACAAATCAAGTCAACGATATTTTAATTTAATTTAATAAGTCTATGATATTTTCTGGGCATCTTTTCCCACAATTGAAGTATAAGCTGAATCCTTATCCAAAGGAGCCTTTATCCAGGTTTCCTCACAGGCTTTATACTAATTCATGAAATTACATCTGAAGATGAGGAACAGAGGTATAAACAGGACCAGTTATCTCATGTACCAGACATAGCATCTGTATGTTCCTTGCTTCCTTGTTCCATATGTATCACATCTATTAAACAGGCAGTAAAAAAATACTTGAATGCATTTTCAATGCATATATATCCAACAATTACTGCATGTCAAAGGCAGAATGCATCAATGGGCTGGGAAGCTGCTGGAGTAGAGTAATTCTTTTAACTTCAGCATGAGGAAATATCTAACAGACAAGATAATCTAGATAAAAGACAGGAAATCTTGTCTTCCAGATGTTATTTAGCTGTAACTCCTAGCACCTATAGAAACTCAAGCCAAACAACACCTAGAAAACAATAGGAACATCGATTTATGGAACAAATTCAGAGAAAAGATATTTCCAATATTTGCATGAGCCAAATTTTAAAACTCTAGACTGTGAGCTGAAATTCAGCATGTTTAGTAACAAACAGCAAGTATAAAAAGGTCTTCTTGCCCTGGAGCCTAGAAAATGTAATACAATTCAAGGCTAATGAAACAGCCGAGTTCAGCAGCAAACAAATATGAGACCTTTTTCTTTTTGGCTACAATTTGATGAATCAGAAAATCTCTGAATGTAAATCAGAAAAAACATGTAGCCAACAAGTGTGCAAAATAGCAAAGGCTATCCTAAGCAGAAATGACCAGGAATAAATATTGTAAGGGATTTACTTAAATTAACTGCAATGACAGAACTATTCAATAAAGTCCCTTCAAGCCAAGGAAAAATTATTTGTGCTATTTCCCATGACTCAGCTAGGAAAGCCAAAATGCCACCTCCTTTCTTATCTTCTCTTCCCATATCTTTTGCTCATTTCCATTTTATCCAATGTCCCTACTGATTAGGAATTCTCAGAACACATTTCTATAATTTGCAGCAGTCCCCATTTAAATAAAACTCAATTCATCAACACATTTTTGAACTGTTAGCCTGCCTTGTCTTTTTATCACTACTTGTTTCCTGCCCCCGCCTTTCTACTTTCTGCCATTACTATTAATACTTACTATTAACCCAAAATGAGTAGAAGTGCTCGTGAAGTTCATGTCCCTCACCCAATTTTTAAAAATACTTTCTTGGATTTATAGTGTTAGCTGCTTCTTGGCACATTTCAGTGATTCCTTCAACACTCTTTATCGTACTACATATAGGAATCTACTCATACAGCAAACAACTGTCTTTTCCAAAATTTACTTCCACTACACAGACAGGAATGTATTTTCTACCGTTGTAAATACATGCCTAAGATGAATCAGAAGTGGGCAAAACTGAGATTTCTGGGTGCTCTAGAGCAGATTAGTAAGAATGCCAATTATTTAACAACATTACTTCTCCCCTCTAAACTGAAAAGAAACATTAGAAGGAGAAAGTCTGCATGTGGGAAAAGCATCAGGAAAAGATTTCTGATTCAGACTGTGCCCTGGATTCATTTCTATTAAGTAACACATTCTTGGGCTTTGACTTTTTAACCTTGTGATTTGTTCTTTAGACAGATTTGCAGGATTCTGATAAAGATTAATCTCACTAGAAACATTTTTGATTCCCATTATAAAAAATGAAGGCATCTTTCATATTTTCTGACAGGCTACTTACACAGCTGAACCATAAATTAAAATCCACATGAACAATTAGCCAGGATTAGCTTATCAAGACCTTAGCTCTAATTCTAGAAATCCCATTACTTCAGCAGGAGCGAGATGTGAAATTCAATGAAGGATCTCCTACTTCAAGTAAACATCTCGGCTCTCCTCTATGACAAAGCCTCCACCTCTTACTGAAATTAAATTCCTATCATGTCCAAATGCATTTTTCCCTTATCCACTTTGTTTCTCCCGTTCTCACTGCATTGGTAGAGATCACTTTAGACCGGTGTTTTTCAAACTTGGCAACTTTAAGACGTGCGGACTTCAACTGGGGCATGCGTCCACAACAGACGTGTGGGCATGCTGGCTGGGGAATTCTGGGAGTTGAAGTCCGCAAATCTTAAAGTTGCCAAGTTTGAAAAACACTGCTTTAGACTCTTCTAGAAGGGAAAAGCTGAGTCAAGATCAGTCAATCCTAAGGCCTAAAGGAGAACGCCAGCAAGGGGGTAGATTGCTGGGACTGCCCTGAGGGGCACGTGCAGCCCCGCACATGAACTACAGCCCCGCGATCCCCTTAACGAGGCCGGCCCAGCGGACGCCCTCCAGGCCCGCCTGGAAGAACGGTCCTAACTCTCCGCCCGCCCCGCATCCCCGCGGTCTAGCTACCTGCGAGGTGGTGCCGAATCCTCTACGAAGCGCTGCGCACGCAGACCGGGTGAGTCGGGAGAACATGGTCGGAAACGTCGGTGGAAAAGAGGGAGGACTCGGCGGGCTTTTCTCCTTATCCTCGACGACCTCCAGGCAGCGAGGGCACCGCGAGACTTCCCCAAGCTCTCGCGACAACTCGGCAGCTTGCTCTCGACGGCCTTCTTTTATCTCTCTCTCTCTCTCTCTCTCTCTCTGTCTCGCGAGGCTTTCGTTGGTCATGTCGCGAGATTGTTGCTCGCCGTTTTTACCAAACGGAAAACCTGTTTTAATCGGTTTTAATGTCTTTCATTTTGTTTTTGTTTTTAATTCTTGTTGTTTTTAATTATGGAAGCCTCCCAGGGCGGCGATATAAATGGAATATGTAAATAAAATGAACTCTTTCGCTGGTTTTAGAGCTCGCGCGAGAGTGGGCCTGCAGCTCTCTGAGTTAGTAAGTCTGACATGTTTGTCACATCGGCGGAAAAGGTTATTTCTGTTCATGCTCACATCCTATCAAAATGAGATACTAAAGCACGTTTTAAAAATCTGAATAGAATTGCCTTCTCACAAAACTGACGTCCGCCTCTGCAATGTTATAACGCTGAAAGAAATGAATGAGCCATGTTAGCATATTTCGAGCTCCACCAGTTCTCGCTAGACTTTCCTTCCTCAAACTCTCGGAAGCCCGTCCTTGTTCGTTTCGTTTTGCTGTCACCGGCTTGTCAATTTATTCAAGTTTGCTTAGGCCCCTGGGAATTAACGGTCATTTTAGTCCTGGGGGAAGGTAGCCCCTCAGGCAACGTGAGGTTAACCGAAAGTGATATTAATAATGCTACGGTTCAAGATGAAAACGGAGTAACTTCCCAGCTCTCGCGAGAATTGGTTCAATTTTATAGTCGGCAAGTAGCTGGAACTATCGCAACATCTTGCAGCTTCTTCGCGGAAGACGATTTTCTCGTCACCAGCCTCTCAGGGAAGCGGTTAGCGTCGTGTATCGCGAGAGAAAGCGCGAGTACGAAAGCGCGGGTGACGTCATCTCATAGTTACCGCAGAGCGTCTGTCCATGGCAACAGGAACTCCATGGACCTGGCGGGCCTGTCGCAGAAGGGGCGATGGAAGCTCGAAGAAGATAACCGTAGGCGCAGCGATGTTTTTCTCCCTTGCGATTGCCGATGAGGACCTGCGAGCCGAGGAGCGATGGTAGAGTGGATGCAGATATAGTGACTGTAACGTCATAAAGCTCGGTGTTATGAGTAGTAGATTCCATGGTTACCCTGGTGACGGTGGAGGGAAGACACACAGCAACAGGAACCACAGCTGTCATGACAATGGATGTCATGAACCGCACAGGTTGGTGGACTTTTTAATAATGCCCCCGAATATCTTTGATGGTTCTGAATTGAGTTGATGGGTATTTTACATAATTTATTTTCAATTTTATTTAAACTAAATAAATTTGATAAATAAATATGGTTTAATTTAATTTCATCAGGTATATGATAAAGAGAGGATATAGATATCTTTACCTAAATTTACTAAAGATATCAAAGATAACCCCAAAAGGCGAGGCTGAGTTTTGTGTATCAGAAGCATAAATAAGGTTACAACTATAGTCATATCTTGTCCTTCCTGAAAAGAATCCTTCCACGGAGGATCATTGCCTGTATCTTGCTTCGTATTGTCCATAGTGAAGCTCCACAATTTCTCAAATATGGACTTTTCTTAGTGGAAATATAAATGGCCGAATCGGAATTTTTGGCATGCAAAGCATAAGCTTTGCCACTGAGTCCTCCGTGAGGAAGCAGTTGTTATCCCACTTCAACCCATTCATTCACTGACTGGTAGCTGTTCTCCAGGCTTTCAGAGTCATTCAACTCTACCTGAGACTGAACCTGGGACCTTTTAGATCTATATACTACTAAAACTCTTGTGTCTGTTTGTTTGTAACTTTTAACTGGGCAAAATGGTATGTCATAGGCCAACAATTTTTGAACGAAGGTACTTCAGATAGGCTAACTTACAGAATGCATCCAAAATCCAGGACCCGCAACTCCTGTAAAATTGAAAATTTGGCAAATTTTATAAAATGTATTATGATATAAAAATTATCATAAAACATTTCCTGTGGTCAATTCCTGATGTTTGACTGTGCTATACAGTTCAATATGAATGACATGGGCATTTCAAGGTAGATACATCTCTGAATATCTCCCTGAATTTTTAAGACCTTTTCCAGTGAAGGCTATGCATTAGAAGCTCTGTCATTGTTGAAGGCACTGAAGAATCTGGTAAGGAAATATCTCTGAAATTATGACCCAGCAGGTCACAGGTTGTCTAGTATGAAATATATATAAACTTTACCACTGAGCCTGGGCCTTGAGGTACAAGGAGATGGTGATCTTGACTACGCAGTTTTGAACAGGATTCTTAGGCCAAGTGAAAAACAAACACACTGTTAGTGATTATCTTGTTAATTTTGATGGTCTGTATCACTCTTGTCATACTGCTATTCCTGAAATTGACATGAGGCAAACTATATCACTGAGTGCATAAGCTAGTTCAGCCCTCAATGAGGAAGCTTGTATTTATTAGCGACAGAGGAAATAAATTAAAGAAGTGCCACCTTCAGTATTCCAATGAAGCCAGTTCCACTGAGCACTGCCTCTCTCTCAATTGAGTCCTACTGGGAGCCATTCCATCTGAAGCACTAAGCAGAGTGCTTTCAGTAAATAAAGAATCAGTAAAAGATACTATAATCTCTTTTCCTTTTCTATCAGGTATTTTCTGTATATAAGCCTAACTGACTGGTTTCTCACTGATTTTTGCAAACCATTTTAAGATCTTTTGATTGAGTTAATACGATTTCCCAGATTGAGTTATCTCTACATAATAGCCCCCATTTTTCATCTGCTTTTAGGGTGAACAGCATCCTGATACCTTGGATTTCAGTTTAGATATGAACTATTTCTATTAATGGATGAGTCATATGACTGTGAATTAGCCTACTACGAGAATTAATCTTTAGAGAATGCAATTGGATTTTTGGCACTGAATAATTTTTTCCAGCGGGATGGCAGGAGTGACCTTGTGTGAACCAACAGAACTGTATAATTTGTTGAATCAGTCCACAAAGATCTCTAGATTAGCAGAACCAAACTATCTCTGTTTATTGGGTAAGTAAAGGTTATTATCAAAAAATAGTTACGCTAATGCACTGTGCAGTTGGACACAGGAATACTGCATTGTGCCTGCTAGTCATGGGCATCCATGTGGATGCAAGAGGGCAAATGGTGATACATCATGAAGTCATGATGCAGATGTTATGATTTATGTACTAAGTTGCATCCTTAACATGATGACATCATGATATACATACAGTAGCAACATGGCTTGTTACAGATGCCACTGTTGCTAAATTTTAAAACTATTTCATGTAAATCCTGTTTTTATTACTGTTTGAATGCTGCTAGAACTATGAGCCAGTTGTATACAAAGCCAACTGATCTGTGAGATCATCCCTTGATCCTTTAGCAAATCCTTGAGGACACTGCTCTGGCTTTGGGACTGAAGCTGATCAGATGTACTAGATGTTCTTATCCACTAAGACCATATTTATTTTATTTATCTATTACCTTTATATCCTGGCTTTCATTCAAGAGCATATGTCTGTTCTGTCCTCCCATTTTTCCCTACCAAACTAACCCTGAGAAATAAGTTGGGCTGAGAGAGAATGGTTTGTTCAAAACCACCCAATGAACTTTTTTCAATGGACTAGAACTTGAGTCTCTCTACTCAAGATTTCTGCGCCACCCACAAATGTCTACAGTGGGGGTGAGGAGGTTTCAAAATTGGCAAGGTGGTGGACATGCCAACCCTATCTCTGCAGGACATTAGCACACATACAACAGTCAGTCCAAGGTCGCCCGGCTGGTTTCCGTGCCTAAGGGAAGTCTAGAACCTGGGCCATTCCTAGTTCAGCACCTTAACCACTACATTACACTGTCCTTCGTACTTGTAGATTTCAGCATATATTTTCTTTTGTCTTGTTTTTTTGCTTTCAGATGCTCGTACCAAGAGGGAATATAATGAAAGCCACTTGATGACAGCAATACGAGTCAAAACAGTGAGTTTATTTCTGGAGACGTGTATGAGTTGTAATCCTCTCATATACCCTAAATGAAGGATAGCATTCTCTGTGCAGAGATTTTTCTAGTAGCTACAAACTATTAATTTTCTCTGCCAAAATATATGGAAAGAAATTAGTTGTTGCTTTTATGGTCATACTCTACCTGTATGCCAGCCTATGCACATTTATCCTGATGTAACCCTATCAGACAAAATGGGGCTTATTTCTTAGTAAACATACATTGGATTGTATGATACAGCAATAAAAGAACAGAAACATAATTGAAAGGATCTCATCCTGTACTTTATTGACATTAAATATGCAAGAAAATGAAATGGACTTGGCTTGGTGCCTAAAAGGCAAGAAGGAAGAAACCAAGTTCCTGTGTGATGAGTGTTTACCAACGTTTGGACTAGTGGTGTGAAAAGTGTTTTGAAATCAAAACAATACAAGCTTAAAATGCCTTGTTTCATGCTGGAATGTACTTTGCAACCTTACCAATAGTGCTCCATTACTGATCTGACACCATTCTGAAGTGTTTCAAGTTGAAAATACTTGTTTTGAATTTTTGAAAGTGAACACCTTTAATTTAGGTTTTATTTATGTATTTCTTTGATTCTGATGGCTTGTTTTTGAAGGAAGGATTAGGGTCAGGGTTAAGAATGGTTCTGAAACTGTTCTTAATTGGCAGGGCAGATTCATGCTAGACTAGAAATTTATTTAAATATAGCAGTCAGTAGTTCCTGGGAAACCTGTTGTTCCACAGCAGATTCTGTAAGGTAGCATTGAGCATTTTTGGGGCCCGAGTTTTGTTGCAGCTACAGCATCCCCCCACTACAGATCAATAGCCATCTTTAAAAAACAGCGGCATTGTTTCTTACCATGGTGAGGCAAGAAACACACACACACTGTAGTACACATTGTAAAATAGTCTTAACATTGGTAATACTGTATCCATTTTCTTCAAAAGCTAAGGAATGTACATCCTAAAACAGGTTGGTGGTCCTCTTCAGATATTTTTAACCAATTCATATTAGCTCTAGCAAGCATGACCAGTGACAAGAGACTTTGGGAGTTATCTTTACTCTAAAACTTGTCTCGTATCTTCTCCAACACACACTTTGGCAATCCAACATTGCCTTAGCCTGTGTGCTTATAAGGAAAGGGCTATTTCATAGCTGAAGGTTTCAGAATCAGTCTTACTTGATAAGAATGGGACCAGATCTTGAATACTGCTATGTTAGCCTTAGGCTTAGGTTACCTTTCCTAGGATCCACCACAGACATACAGGTCTCCATACTGTAGTATCTGTATTTGGTGGTACTTAATTTACCTTGTTTGTTTGTTTGTTTTAAAGAATCCATTGGGCAAATACTTGGTACCTCAATCTGTCAACCTGGAATGCGTCAGATACTGCGTAGTGTATGATGGCAAAACAGAGTCTGTGGATGCGGCTTTTAACATGGATTATGATCTATTTGAAGTGGATTCAGATCTAAGACGTATCGTTCCTCTTTTTCTCAAAATTAAGGAGCCTGGGTAGTTTGCTAAGGCTTAGCTCACTCAAGAGTGAAGCTCTGAAATGTCTTGTTCTCACTAAACTTGGTGATATTCAGATGTATTGGAATCAATATCTAGAATTCCCAGCCATCATGACCATTGGCATCCTGACAGGCTAAGGTCAGCCTATCAAAAGGCTTAATTGCATCAAGCAGTTGCCTTACTCTACCTGAGGCTGCTGAAATGAGCCAGCCTGCTGTAGCAAATGGTGTGCATGGAGAAACTTCTAAAATGGGGCAAATGCTTCTACATCTTATAATAACAGCTTCAAAACCCTGTTTTAAATCCTTGTTTTTTCTTCTCTCCATCTAGCATTCGACACAGGAGCGGACATAAGAGAATTAAGAAAGAAACCATCATCTGAATATAGTACATTTTATGTTAAATCAGTCATACATGTAAATAGGATTTAAGGAGGAAGATAAATCCTCTGCTCCTTGACAAGTGTCTGCCTTAGAAACACCTTTCTTTTCAGCCTTTGGCGGGGGGGGGGGATTCTGCAAGCTTACAGCAAAAAATAACTGGCTAGCTCCTATACTGTTATTCTGTAGAGCCATTGCCATGAGATGCATAACCATAAAGAAATAAATACTAGGACAATAACAGTGGAGGGACAGATATATAGGAAGAGGCATTGCTTCTAAAAGGCAGGACTTGGATCCTGTTGAAATGAACAGTGGAATAAACATGTAATAAAGAAATCTAATAATAAATGGGATGGACTTATAGGAGCTCATGCTACAAATTAATATGCATCAACACTTTTTTCTCCCAATAATCTGCTTCTAGACGCTAAAGAAGGCTCTGCGGCTCGCTGTGCAAGAGTTATGCAGCGGCTCACACGCTTCCCCGTCATGGTCCTGAAAGGCGGCTACCAACTCTTTACAGCCTCCTACCATTACCTCAGGACCCAGAAGATATTTTGGATGCCTCAGGTATGACAAACTTCACAGAGGAAAGAGGAGGCTTTCTCCTTATATTTAAACACTTTCCCTTTTTCTGTTCAAGTCAGAGGAGTATTATTTCTTTCATTAATAAATTGGCAGTGGGAAAGGGCAGCAGGATGCCTCAGAGGCAGACGCACACCCACACATATGCCCATCCCTGTGGTGGGAAACTTAAACTCTCTTCCCTGACACTCAGATTAGTCGTGGAAGGTCTCATAAGAAGCAAAAGTTCTTTGCTCCTCTCTGTGCTTATTTTGAGAATCTTGGAAGCTGCCTGTTTCTTAGTCATTCTTTCTTTCTATCCTTTCTAGACTGGTCTCCAGCCTAGTGGCTTCCAGACTCACATCAACTTGATTTGGAATTGGCTTGATGTCATGGCCAGGTCTTGTGGCATTTTCAGCGATTTGGGGAAAATTCTTTCCCAGCTCATGTTGTCCACCAGCCCTCAAAATTTCATTTA